TCATGCTAAATCTTGAATTCATGTAGCCTTGAGGTTGCTAAAATGAGGAAATGATGCTTGATTCTTTTGCAAGCACCCTTTAAATGAATCATTATCATCACATTTGTCAGTAACCAGTGTCGTTTTTGCTATCGGGCATCGCAACAAGCTGCCAAGTCTGCCACATAGCGCAAATCTGTTGAGCCGTGTGTGTGTGTGTGTGTGTGTGTGTGTGTGTGTGTCTTCAGGGACTGCTTCACTGCTCTTCCATCTGCCTTTCAAAGACAATATGCTGGTACTCCATAACACAAGCGTATTCATCAGATTGCATGGGACTCTGGCATTTAATGACTCCGATATGTCGTTGCTTTATATATGTGCATGCTAATTTAGCTAATAAGTTATAAAATTTAATCGGTTATCATTGTATAACAAGGTAATGTGGTGATATAAATCAGGTGAGGTGGACATATATATCATATAATTTCATCCATTTGCCATCTAATTACAATATAATTAAAGCTGGAGGTATTTTGACGAATCTAGTGGATTTATTTGTAGTGTATAGGTCAAAACAGTAATAAAACTAAAAATAAAGAGTAAAAAAAGGGCAAGACCGGTTTATATTTATCAGGGTTTGACTGGATCATGACCAGTTGTGAGAATGGTAAACTTTTTAGCTTTTAGAATATTGTTCTGTGCTTCATACATAAGACGCGAGCCATAGAGAAAGCAAAAAAGTGAACTCGAGCTCGTTATTTCTTTTTGTATTATTTTGCACACAAAACATTGTTGTTATTTGAAGTAAACACAAAACCTTTCAGTAGGCTTTGTTCCTCTGCAGCTCTTTTGAGTTCCTTCTTTGTGTGTGTGTGTGGTGTGTACACAAATACACACACCCACTAAACCCCCCAGCAGGGCTGTAATGAGAAGACAGCAGAGGATCACATTACCCATCAGCAGGGCCATGTGATCCTCTCGACGGCAGCGCTGTGAATTTCAACATTCTTATCTGCAGCACACGCGTCCCCAAACCTGCTGGGATTACTCCTTCTGCTATAGCTTCCTGGATTGTTTTTTAATTGAATATGCAGACAGTCTTTGATGCCTTTTACAAAATAAGACATTTTTATCCAAAACTTTGAAGGCAGTGAAAATTAAAAACCAACTATTCCTCCTTGCGATATAAAAGCAAAGTACAGTGGTTTGAGCATCCATTGGGCCAGATTGCTTTCTCACCTTAAGTGAACTGGTCCAGAGTTTGTTTGCTTGCAAGCAGGCCTAGATCATCCCGTTCAGACCACTGACTTCTTTTTATTCCCAAAACAGGCTCATTGGAAATACGTGCTTTGGGCTACATTTATGTGAAACTGCAAAAACGCCCTTAAACATCCGTTTGACTGCAGTTTCTAGGTAAAATGAATGCTATTGGGAAGCTTGACGCTAAAAACTTTGGTTCCTTTTTATACTAATGATACTTACAGGGGCATATTATTGACTAATAAATGATTATGTTCATGTAGCCCTTTACAAATAAATACCACAAACGACTTATTGATGTCTATTGGGTTTTCCAAATTAACCATTTCTTCGGTACAGCTTGATTGCGACGTGGACAACTGTTGGTTAGCACTATTGGATTTTACATCTGCAAATCACAAATGCATGCAACAACAAACTAAAACAAATTCATTAAACGCACTGTTATATTCAATGTGAGCACTGAGCTTGCTTATTCTGCAACCATATTAGAAACTTTCGTGAGATGTTTGTTTCCCACTAATGCTGTATTAGCTGAATCTTAAGTGGGTCACATAACAGGCACGGCCCTCATAAAAAACAATATTGTTAAGAATTCTAAAAGTCATGGAGCGGTGTGCGATGTGCACAAAATGGATATTGGATCTTAGAAAGGGGAATCTCACAATAAAATGGGATCATAAATAGAGTATTTTTGCATTGTTGTGGTAGCACAGACCTGAGGGTTGGGGATCTCTGCGCTAAAACGAATGCATTTCAAATATGCAAAAACGCAGACGCCCTCTAGTGGATTTGTCATCTAAAACAGGCAACAAAACTAACCCAGAGCAACGTATTTTATGTTTTGCAAAAATGTAGGCTGAGGCACGTATTTCCAATGAGCCTGGGCTGTTTGTTTATTTGGTTTTAGGTTGTTGCAGTGCTTAGGACTGTCACTAAAACATGTTATTTCATAAGACACCCATTTTCATTTATTTATTTATTTATTTATTTTTTTTTTTGTAGCTTACAGCAACTTTACAGCAACAAAAGCCTCTGTGTTCTCTGATACTCTAATCCTCTTCATCTGTTATCTTCTTTACAAGAAGTCCCTTTAGAGCACTGTAGATTAAAAAAAGGGGTTTTGTACACAAAGATACAAATCTCAAAGTGACGCAAACTGCAACCCTTCATCCTCCCGCTTAACTCAACACAGAGAGAAAGCAACTATTTACAGCTAATGACCCAAAAAGTGCTTAACTCAAAGTGAAGTCCACACTGCGGCTCTAGAGAAACAAACCACAGTCTACAGAACGCTCTTCTTCGACACATGGCATTTGAATAGACGATGCTGACATTCACCTTGTGTTCACCCCTGGCCTTGATCTGATGGCTAAATGACACTAATAGCTTCTGAAAACACTCACTCTTCCCACTGGCACTGAATGGCACAGCTGCATCCACTGCATATAGGCAGAAATCTGCGCCCGCCTTCAGGAGGATCTACTACGACTAGTTTCCTAGCAACAGCTGAAGTTAAAAGCATCAAGTTGAGAAGCGGTGGGGGTTCATGAGGGAAGACAGTGATCTGAAGCACATTGCCTTTGATTGATCGCTGCTTAGTACTCAGTCCCAATTTTAGCAATGGAGAAATCAAGTACAGTAAAGGAAGTAAGAGAGGAACGGGGCTTTCCTCAGCACAAATGAACAGAGTTGCATGTGTCTGATGAAGATGATTTCTTTTATAAGAACTGGTTTACATTTTAGGGACTGACAAACATTTAAGGTTAAACAAAAACACTAGACACTCACCATCATTTTTATTTTTTCATTAACAGTTTTTTTTCTTCTCTCAATGTTGAATTAATAATGATTGTTGAGTTGACCTTGTGTTCAATATATTATTTTAGTACAGTTTAGATATTCTAGTCATGAGACCATAGTCATAGTCTAGACTAGTCATGAATATTCAAAAGAAACTCCAGATGCACATGACCACTGACACTCTGATGAGGGCAAGCGATTGCCAAATTTGTGGGCACAGTTTTTAGGAATAGCCATGTCAATAAAGGCTTTTTAATAATTTTTCCACATTTTTCGAGTGCCTTGAGGTAATTTTTGCTCTTTATTCTGATGAATCCCTTGCCCAAAGAGCACCGACACATTAAGCTACCCCTGAGCACTCTTTGCTTGATTTTGCACTAGATTTCTAGATTTTTGATAGAAAGTGCAAGTGTTAGCCATAATTCAAGAGTGTTATAGGTCAACATCAAACAAAAATAACTCAATGTTTTAAATGTGCCTTATTGAGCTTTAATTATTGTTTGTGTGACTGAATGAGTGTGAAGGATTCATGCATTTTGCTTGTGTAACCTGTTACTAGAAAATACCCATACACTCTAATTAACACACATACACTGCGGACAATTTTGCCTACCCAATTCACCTATAGCGAATGTCTTTGGACTGTGGGGGGAAACTGGAGCATCTGGAGGAAACCTACACAAACACGGGGAAAACATGCAAACTCCAAACAAAAATGCCAACTGACCCAGCCGAGGCTCGAACCAGCAACCGTCTTGCTGTGAGGTACCAGCGCTAACCACTGCGCCACCTAACCGTAATTTAAACTAGTAGTAGAAGAATTGTTTGGAGACATGGGTCATCAGTGTTGCATTTATAAATGTGCTGCAACAAAGGATTTGTTTCCATTTCCCCATGATGAGAGCACAACTTGCGAGTTGACCCTAGGAGTTAGATCACATGCTAACACACGACAAAAATATGTTTGTGAGGAACATTTTTAACCAGAGAGATTTTTCTTATCTGGAAAAAAAGAAGTCCGGATTTGCCACTCATCTCCTGTAACCAGACGCGGTTCCAGTTGGTGTTGATTGTCCCGTCTCAACAGATTTGGTAAGTGTGTGATCAGTGTTCTTTGTTTATGTTTATTCAGATGGCAAAGTTAGTATCGTCAGCATTGCTTCATTTTTAAAGACATACGTTAATGAAATATTATGAATATTAAATGAATATTACTAAGTTTACAGTAATATCACTATGATATCATGGACTGAAAATCCTCCAGTTCCACACAGCTCTTAGATCTGCTGTAAAAGCTGCTCTACAAATCACTGTCCATCTCCCGTGTCTATGTTTGTGTTGCCAGAGTGAAAATCAGCTGTACTGCACGTAATGAAACTCCCCTTTTTATGCAAACCCTTCCCTCTTTTGTTATTCGAAAATCCCACCTAAAAAAAACTGGACTCACATACTTTCCTTTTCTCAAACTAGAGGTCTAAAAACACCTTGCTAAGATGGGGAGAGGGGGAGGGTGACTCATGACCCTTTAATATACAGTAATATCTGTATTATTATGCTATTCATTATTATGTGTGTGTGTGGGGGGTATTTATTAATATTTTTTTATTTATATATTTATGATATATTTTTATTATTTTTATTACAATTATTATTTATTTATTTATATTTAATAATTTTGTGTCATATTTAGCATTACTAAATTTTTATTTCTGTTTTAGTTAGTCTTATATAGATGTAATATTACAATTAGTTACTAAGGTAATTATATATTATTATTTATTTATGTATTTTGTATTTATGGATTATTTAAAGCAACTATTTTTTACATTGTAAGTTTTATATTTTTTATGTTTTTATTATACTATAATTCAATTAATGAAAAACATTTTTATTTTATAACAATTGAGAGAATTTATGTGAATATTTGACAAAATTCTGTCCTTAAAGCTAAAGGATACATCCCAAGGATAACTGCTTCAAGGCATTTGATGGGAAGGGATTCTCGTATCATCTCTCTCGCAGTCTCCATCAACCTTCAAAACAAAATAAATCAAATGTCAAGCAGGACCAATGGCTTCAACAAAGATAAAAAAGCTCTATATTTTGTAAATGCATTCCATCACACACGCAAAAGTATCTTTTTTAAAAAGGGATTTTCCATTTAGACCATAAAATAGAAGTAAAAGGAACAGGTAAAAGACTAAAAACAGGAAAGACAGGCTAGACGGACAGGATGATGGCATCACTTACCCACTCAGAGGTCGGGTTTTCTTAATCTCAAAGAACTGCGTTCCCGTATGGTTGTATCTGTCAGCAGTTAAGGAGATATGAGAGGACGTGATGTTTGAATGCCTTATTTAGGAAGCCTTGTTTTCCTGCTGCTTCATTGTGACTCATGCGTGTCAAAATGCACAGCTGCGAACAATATCCTGTAGAAGCCAACATCCTCATTACCCGCCACTGATATCACTGTATTTGTGAAAGTACAAACGCTAAAATTCTAACCAAATAAAATTATGATTATAAATATCTGCAGCTAGAGCAATCTAGGCATCTGCTAGGATAAAATTGTATTGTTGTGATAATTGCTGAAGTTTTAAAAATCACAATATATAGTATTATAACAATATAAAATAAGCATTCTTTAACGGGTATAATAACAAAAATAACTCTACACTAATTGCTTTACCGTAAATAAATGTTAAAGAAATGTTTCAAACAAATTTAATCGCAAAAAAAGTACAATAACACTTTACTGCAAATTCTCATAAGTAAATGTTATTAATGCATTTAATAAGGTCGACAGTGGGAAATTTCTACATTTGTTCTATTCTACATACTATTCTGCATATAGTTTGATCAGGATCCACAGGCTTCTTCAACATTTTATACAAACAATAGTGATACAAACTGTAATCATGGCATTGGTTTTACCATATCCATTAAACATTACTTATGTGTAATCTCTAAAACTATTGGTAAAGAAATCCCTGTTTGCTCTAAAATCTGTATTCTTGGTCTTTTCCCACCTGCCTTATCACTGAAGTCATATGAACAGAAGCTTATAAATCTGTGTCTATTGCATATGAAGCGCCTGATTGCCATTCACTGGAAGAGTATGGTCCATAGTCCATCTTTGTCACTCTGGATTAGGGAAATGTCTTTGTGTATAGCAATGGAAAGATTGACTTACTCAATCAAACAAAAACTGCACATATTTTACAAGATTTGGACATTCTTCCTTCATTTTTTTAAATAAGAATGGACTGACCGTTTAGTAAACCCAAACTATGTGACTGTGTTAAGGCTGATTTATACTTCTGCGTCAAGCTCACGCGTATGCTACGGCGCAGCTTACGCATTGACGCATATCTCCGGATGAAAAGTTTTGTTTTGTGTTTTAAAGTTGTTGCACGTCCGCCGGTTCCTGCCTCAAAATGAGCGAGTTTGAGTCACTTGTACATTCAGGAAGCATTCAGAAAAAACAAAACACCAGTGAAGAAACTAGACACAGAGGAACGATAACACTTCACTGCCAACTAGCATATCGGAAGTGTTAATGCAGACCAACAGAGACAGCGTGCAGAAGTATAAATGCACAGCTACGCGCGTTGCATGTGGCATGGGTTATGCCAGTCACTTGACACAGAAGTATAAACCTTAATTATCTTTTTAAATTTTTACTAAATTGCCCTTTTTATTTTATTATTATTTTATCTTATTTTAGTTACTTTTTTATTTTCCATTTATTTGTTTATGTGTTTTTTTTTTGTTTTTTGCATGTGACTACATACTTTTTTTATGGCTCTTTCGGGATGGGGTGGGAGTTGTTCTTTGATTGGTATTTGGTTACTAATACAGTATGTATGCATCACATTTTTCTGAAACAACAAAAGTATTTAAAAAAATAAAATAAAATAAAAAACATTACTTACTTACTCCCAAGGCCGTTTATATCAAAGTTGATATTTAGCCACACCTTGTTAGTGTCTCATAACATCTAATTTTTACGGTTAAAACTTTGGATGCCCTATATAAGAGCTGCATAATACTGGAAAAATCTGATAATTATTCTGTGATAAATATTGCAATATGAATACAGTTTCACAAGAAGTTTGAATAGCACTATTTGTTTTCTGGGGAGTCTAACAGTATTCAGGTATAGAAATGGAATAATCACAATGCATGCACATTGCTTTGTCTCATTTGTAGTCTTAATATCTAAAAATTCCTAATCAAGAAAAAATATGGTTTTGTTTTCAACTTCAGAAGAAATAGGTCAAAACTAAGAGTTTGTCCTTAAAAGAAGTAAAATTATCTGCCAGTTGGGTTAGCAAAATAATCTTGTTTTCACAATTTTCACAAGTTCTCACAATTTTGTTACACTACTTTTTTTTTTTTTTGGGATAAATCATATATAATCCATATAAATACAGTAATTAAATACAATTTTGTAGCTCCTGGTTAATTATAAGTCAGACTCAAAATTGCATTTCTTGCGATGTGACTATTGCTGATGCACACATTTTGATATCGATGCTGATACAATATATTGCGCAGCCCAACCATATATACTTTAAAAGTGGAAGCAAAGACTAGCTTTCCTCTCAACATGTTAACAAACCAAACTCTTTCATGAATTAACAACAACTACAATGCCCAAAGAAGTTGTTTGCGGGCAGCCAATGGAGATCATATGCTGCCGTTATGCAAATTTCGTATAAATGTTTGTTGGTTTGTGCAGGAAGTAAAGCTGGAATTGCTGATGACTCGTTTCAGGCAGTTCAGAGTCAGTGCTTTCTTCATTCAAGGGTACCATTCTCACTATTAATAAAAGCATTAACTATTGCTTTGGGCTGGAAAGAGATAATTGAATGCATGTCAGACATGTTTAATATTACAATCCCTTTAAATGCCCAGCTCTGTATTCTTGGTTTGTATCCTATTGAACTTACAATTGGAAAGACAAAAATTTTGGATTTTAGTTTTCTTCAAGTTAGAAGGGCTATTACATTATACTGGAAACAGATGGATGCTCCATCCATAGAATTGTGGAAAGCAGAAATATTGAACTGTGTTGGACTGGAGAGACTAACTTTTATCATCAAAAGCAAGCAGGAGGACTTTGACTATCTTTGGAAACCATATATGAATATTATGTAAATTGTGTGTTTGTAAACATGTTTTTTTGTTCATTGTATTATTGTTTTTGCTACTTTGTCATTTTCTATTTTTCAGTTTGAATTTAAAAAAAAAAAAATTTATTTACTTATTTATTTATTTATTTATTTTATAATATATAATATTACATAGTATAATATAATATATTACATATGTGTGTATGTATACGTGTATATACATATATATAAGAAGGGTGTGGATATGTGCTGTTGATGAGGGAGGAGAAAAAAATCTAATATATTTGGGGGAAAAAATGATGCCTTTGGGCTCAATAAACTCTGAATTTGCTGCTTATTAATAGTTATTATGGTAGTAGTTAGGTTTAGGTATTAGGGATGTAGAATAAGATCATGCAGAATGTGTACTTGTCTTCGCTGAGGCCAGCTTCCAGCCTCCACTGCTGAGACTGAAGCTCTGCACAAGCTTTTTGGCCAGCAGAGAAATTTAAATGGTCATGCCGAACTGAGTCTGGTTTTCTCAAGGTTTTTTTTTCTTCACTCTCCTATTGGTAAAGTTTTTTTTCCCTCTCCGCTGTCGCCATTGGCTTGCATGGTTCAGGATCTGAAAAGCTACTCATCGATGAATTTGCTCTTCAGTGTTTGGACTCTCAGTAATAATTTCAAACCACACTGAACTGAGCTAAACTGAACTGAATTTAAACACTAAAAACTGAACTACCCTGATCCAGTTACTATGACCATTTATGTGAAGCTGCTTTGACACAATCTACATTGTAAAAGCGCTATACAAATAAAGCTGAATTGAATTGAACTTTCGAAGCATTAATAAGCAGCCAATATCTTACTAATAGACAGATAATAAGCCAAAAGTTAAGAGAATTTGTACTTTAAAGTGTTACCGTTCTGTGTTGGGGGAAAATCTCACCTTTTATTGTGAACTTTTACTGCATGTTGTTTGAAGCACTGCAACACTTTTACATTAGCAAACAGCTACATGAACGGTAATATCCAAAAAAGCTTAATATGGGTATTTTAAGTTGTTATGCAATGTTCAACTTACGCTATATCAAAGCCCTATCTTTCATTGGCAGACTTTAAAGTGTAGCATGAGATTGAAAACTCCAAGTACTAATGTAGTGGAAGTATGCAGGCCTGTGGCTAATCTCAGTCTACATTAAAATGACTGACACTCCTACCAAAAAGGTACTTTGAGTAACTCAAGCCGGCTGAATAAATTAAACTGAACGAAAAAGCATAACTGACACTCCAAAAGAGAAGAGAACCCATGAATCCATAATGCATTAAGGAGAAGCAGAGATTTAGAAAGCGTCTGTCAAACTTCCTCAGAACAAATGGACTGTGCAGGGCAAAGGATACTGCAGGTTTCTCATGTAGTTCTGGACGGCATGGAGCCAATCAGGCACAGACATTGATGGCTTAAAGTTAGGAACTGATGGCACGGAGTGCTGTGAAAACAGAGAGAGAATTATCAAATAGTAAACTGTACAGATAGAAAAACATTACTTTTGGGGATTTTATTTATTTATTTATTTCCAAATCAGCAACTTATGACTATTTCATGGCAAAATGGATATACATAAAAATAGTACATGATTAAAAACAAATTCGTATTACAATAAAAAAGTTACAAAAACAAAAATAGAAATAGAAATAAATAAACACAATTCACAAAAAAATATTCAAAGTTAAATATGATTTTTTTAGGTCAATATTATTAAATAACATAAGATTCTTCCTGGTGGTACCTTTTTAAAAATGTTCATCTAAGTACTCTCCTTATAAAGTGTTGTGTAATGGTTTTCAAACTTCCACATTCCAACAAAATATGTTTGATGCTAAGAGCAGCTTAGCAGGAAATTACATTTAGGTGGTGTTTGTTATTCAGTATATGCAAATAAGTCAACCTAGAATGTCCAATTCGACATCTAGTATAGACCGTTTGCTCATGACTGGTCTCAAAATTATAATTTGCAAAGTGTCTTTCATTTATTTTATATTTATTATTATTATTATATGATTATTTTATAATGTTGAACTGTTTATTTTCTAGCGTTGACATTTTCTTTTTATCATGGAAATTATTGGGTGATCACACTTAGAAGCTTCAAGTGCTTGAAGACTGGATTTAGAATCTGTGCAGATTAAAAAGTCAGGGTACTGTGTCCTTTTCATTTGTTTTAAAGCCATATTTATTGCAAAAGCTTCTGCTGTGTAAACTAAACTTTCTCCTGGGATCTGAGGCCCCGTTTACACTAGTGCGTTTTAGTTTTAAAACGGCGTTGTAGAATGAAAACGATCCGCGTCCACACTCGCGTTTTACCCAGCGTTTCTGAACAGCTCTCCGTCCACACCAAAACGCTGAAAACGCACATCACGTGACCACACACACACTCTCGGGCAAGCGCTCCAGCATTTCTACCCAGATGAGAGCTCTGCTTTGTCGGGCTGCACATCACGCATCTCCCGCTGGATCTAATCTCACTATATTTGCTGAACATGATATTTCATTCATGTTGTTGTCTTTATCTAACGACATAGGCCAATTCCCTGACTTTGGTCATTGGAATCTATTAAGTTACTTGTTCACGGGTAACATGTTTTGGTTAAGCGCAAAGATAAGTTAATGATTAATCCAGGTACATTGACTGATCGCTTACCTTTATTTCCTACAATGTATAAACTTATTGTATGTTATACTTTTATAATTATCGATTTTTAAAACTGATATTCAGTAAAAGAGAGGGTGCGTTTCGGATTTTCACTGAAATTGAAAAGAGGCAGTTGTTATCGGCTCCGTTTTGTTATAAATATCCACACAGTGAAGATGACGCTCATGCAGCACGGCGCCTCAACATTTCTGCTGTCTGTTAAGTTGCTAATATTAAAAAGAAAATAGGCAGTTCCTTATATCATGTTTACATTTTATTGTTGAGAAAGTGAAACAACGTAGCCAAGGTGATGTGAATGAGGTTATAAAGTAAACTGTTCCCTTTGAAGATTTACCCGTGTCCTCGGTATGTTTTCCATATCAAACTGAGAAGGGGGAGACTGCAGCCTTGATCAAACTTGCGAAGTCTTAACTTACAAGAAGAGGATGCGTGACTGAACTGTGTGTGGGCTACTTAATATTGAGGAAAAAGCCCCAATCAGATAGGCGAACGTTTGCAGCCCCGCCTCCGTTTTCAGATGTCTCCGTCTTTCCCCATCCACACTGAGACGGAGCAGCAGCGTTTTAGAATGAAACGGCCTCTCCAGCGTTTTCAAAAAGCTCCGTTTTCGGCGCTCGAGAACTCCGGCGTAGTGTGGATGGATGGCGTAATTGTAGCAAAACTTATGCGTTTTCAAACTAAAATGCACTAGTGTAAACGGGGCCTGAGTACTAAACACATCATCTTTAAAAACTACTGCTGCAGTTACGCCTCTGTCTGTTTTCGATCCCATGTGTATATATGGGTTGATGATAAGGGAGACTGTCCGTTATTTGTTTGAATTCTTGTTTGTATTGATTTGGCTGCGTCAAGGACTTCTTCTGTTTGGTTAGGTTCCATTAGAGTCTTATTTTTGTGTTGCACCGAAGAGGAATATGGTTTAAATCCGGTAGTGAAAGCTTTTCCATATTAACACCCATATTCTTCAGATGGGGTTTCACACGAATTCCAAATTGGACTGATATAGTTGGGTCTGGCTTCATACAAATCTAAATATTCTGGGTGGAAGACTGAAGGATAAGCGGAGTTACCTCTTTTAATTTCGGTTTGACAGCATATTGGAGTGTTCACATCAAACATCGGCTTTCAAGGAATACTTCTATTGCCTGAATATATAAACTTTATATATAAAACGTTCTATATAAACAGTGGATATTTTGAATGCTCCCAGTGAAATTTACTTTTAATGGTTAAAAAAAAAGAAATTTATATTTTTATCAGCATGGACGCATTCAAAAGAGACAATAAAGACAAGTAATGCAACAGAAATGTTTTCTATTCATTTAAGAATCTTGAAAAATGTAAAGCAATAAGAAAACCATTGGAAATGTTCTTGGACATTAAATCAGCTTCAAGGAAAAAAAACTTTCTTTTCGCAAAATCAATTACATAGTGCAATTCTGATGTCAAAAACTCTCACATTGCAGACATCTTGTCTCTCCTCAAACAGATATATTTCTTTTTTTAATAATTATCTTTTTTATTTTCTCAAATGGTATTACATTTACCTCAGATACACGTCAGATACATGTCATACACTGAATACAAATGTAAGCACAGATTCTGTACATTCACTTTCTCTTTCAGCAATATATGCTTCCTCTATGTGCGCATGTAAACTTCTGTTTTACATGAGAATAAAAGGAAAGAAAATTTCTGGGCATTATCTTTGATGATGGCTTGAGACTTGATAAACAGACAAATGCAGTGGTCAAATCCTGCTTTTTCAGCTTTGACTTAACAGTCAAACCTATTTTATCTAGCTATTCTATCTATTTTATCTGAAATTGATTATGGTGACTGCTACAAATATCTTGCTATTTGGTTAGATGGTAAACTGTCATTTGAAACTCACATAAATGAATTGCTCAAAAAGGTTAAAGCCTGGATTGTTTTTTTTTACAGAATCAAATCTTCCTTTACTCACTCTTCAAAGCAGTATTTGGTCAAATTACCAGTATTACCCATTCTGGATTATGGGGATTTAATTTATACATCAGCTTCAAAAACTGGCTGTTATTTACCATGCAGCAATTCATTTTGTTACTGGTGCGCCATTTAATACTCATCACTGTCAACTGTATTCTTTATTGAATTGGCCTTCTCCTCAATCATGTTGACAAATTCATTAGAATAGAAATAAGCAATGTGGGAAAGGTTGAATAGTACTATCATGCTTCTTTAGGCAATGTTTGTGTTCAAAACTCGAGAAGCAATGTTTCTTGTTTATGAAAATGTAGAAGTCAACAGTGACAACAGGGACTCAGGGATCACAGTGACTAAACACAAATATAATCTAGTCTAAACTCTGCATTACTATCTCTCGCTCTAACAACTAAGAATCTTTCAGAGTTTTTCGTGTAGTCTCAAATAAAAATGTATTTTAAAAAGCACAAGGTTACTTATTTTGACCAAGCTAAAGTTGGCAACCTTTTCTTGTGATTTTGGATTGACCTTTCCACCCCTGCAGCCACAAGCAGATTCATCAATCAGATTCTGATGCCTCAATGGCATGAAAAGTCCTTGTCATCTGTAGAAACAGTGGCGCACTGATCATTTGCATCCTTACAATGACACTTCTAACTGCTAAAGGACAGCGAAGAGATTTAGAAATGAACAAAGGTCATCCTCTCACACATTAGCCTCCATTCATAAGAGAAGAAAAGAAGTAATTAAGGAAAGCTAGAAAAGAGGCTGCCCTCTATCTGAAGCAGCTCTTCATTAGGACACTTTAACAGCATCAAACTAAAGCTTGTCACTGAAAGAATCTGTATTTATTTTCAATAAGCACAGCTGCATATGTGCTGCAGAACTACTGGGTCACAGGATGAAATGAGAAAGGGAATCATCCCCCGTTTTCTCTTTATCTCTTTCTGCCCAGTGCAACAAAATGAGAGACCGCAGGAAGATAGTCTTGACTTTTAAAGACTTCAAATGTATAATAAAGAAGAAATGCATTGTACAAAATCTTTGTGTTATAATTGCAGAATAACAGTGCTCTTGTTCTGAGTGGCAGACAGAAGTGCTTCCCATGAACACACACTGTTTTTCACACTACTTAAATAGAGGTGTTCAGAAACCTGAGGTGTGACAAATGTCATAAAAGTATAAAGCCTTATTAAAATAGTGTTTCTGAACAAACTGGGTACTAGCTAGGTACTGTTTCCCCATACAGTGGTACTCAACTTGGACACAAATGGCAACTCAATACTACCAAAATTTTTTGTATACAAATAAACAAAACATATTTCAGATCAGCCACCTAACTTTGTTGTTATGCCAAACTTACTTTCACAAAGCGATTTTTTTCCATAACCTTGATGTATCATCACAGGTATTATTTTAGTTTTACCTGTATACGTTTGTTTTTTTGGTGATCAAGGAGTAATAATTTAGCAAATCTATGTTGTGTTTTATGCAAAATTATGAAACTATATTATGTTTTCAAACTGTATAATAATAACAATGTTTTTGAGCACCAAATTAGCATTTTGCACTGTGAAAAATGCTGGGTTCCACCAGAGACTAGAACACACAAGATATGTCATTTGCATCCTTTTAAATGGGGAAAAGTGTAACGATCAAAATGGCAAATGAAGCCCCGCCTACTAGTACATGAGCCAATCATCAATCGATATAGACAGTTGATGCATATGATATGACGTTTCTTCAGCAGAGAAGCTCAGACCAGACATATGCTTTTACAACACTTTTTGCGGTCAACAAACACACTGAAT